TAAAGTAGCCTGTCACGTTCAGACTACAGATGTGTTTGAATCCTTTCTTGCTTCATACTTGACGTTTTTTAGCTAAAGAGGTGTAATATGTATTTCCTTTGTGCGTGTGACTATCCTTCTAAGATAGATCTTACAAACTTATATTATATGCCTTCGAAAACACAGCAATGATATGAAGAAGCAGTCCTTATGATTCTGTGGAAATTCCTTCGAAATTTGAATAAAATATTGAGTTTACCTCCATATTTCTGACACCAGAGGGCGCCAACGATTTTACCGCCATTTTCGTCGTCATTTGTCATTGCATTCTTGTGATTCGAAAGAAATACACAAATTTTTTATTTTCCATAAATTTCATTTAAACTTATTTAAGTTTTAGTGAGTGTTCGTATAGTATTGCACTTTAGAACACTGTGTTCTTTAGTAGAACGAAACGTAAGTTGTATTTGGTGAAAACACAGCAGTGTACGTTTTTTATCATGGAACCGGTAAGTACGGAGCGAACCGATATTGTTGCTTCGGATGGAGAACAATCATCGACAAGCTCTAGGGCATCAGACAATAGCTCCTCCTCATCCTCGGAGTTTGAGGAGGGCATGGCGTCACCGTTGCCCAATAAACGTTCTCGCTCGTCGGCGCGAAACCGTAAGTACAAGCCAAAATCTGTACCCACTGATCCTCGTATTGATACATTAATATCACAAGTGTCTTATATTTCAAATTATTTAAGCCAGTATCCGGTTTATTACAATAATAGTAACCAGAATAATATTGGAAATCCAATACCAAGTACTAGTACTAGCGGGATGTCACAGAATATTAGTGAAAACATTAGTAAGGATACTTCAAGGCAATTTATTACACTTCCCACACAACCCGAGCCATTGTCTCTTGATTGGGGATCTTTGATCACTGACATTGACGATAAAAAGATTATTCCACCAAGTGATATGGATAGATTTTTAGAATTGAACAAATTACAACAGTTTGATTCTCAAGCTTGGAAGGGTATTAGGTACAAGCGAGTCCTGCAGAGCTGTTTAGCAACCCCTGGGTTTACAGGACTTCGTGTAAATGATGAGTTGTGTCATTTTAATAGTAATAAAGACTATCTTGCTTCAACAGAACAACTTTTAGCGGGTTTGTCGAACAAAGTTTTAGAGCAAAAGCAATTATTGCATTCAGGTTTACAGTCTATTGTCGACTGGGCTTGTGCTAACCCACAGAATTTAAATCCAAACACTTTATTTGAGAAATTTTCTGTTACATTTGGACCTGGTTCTTCATGCCATAAGAACTCTGAGACCACTATGCAGATTATATGTGGAAAGCGTTCTGAGTGTATAGAAGTTAGGCGTGATCGCATACTAAAGGAAATTGTAAATGAAAATCTTAAAACTACTTTAAGAAATGTTCCACCTAGTTCTGAGTATTTGTTCAGTAGAGAGGCCTTACAGCCTATAATTCAGTCCCTTGGAGGATCTCAAGTTTGGTTGAATACTCCAACCTATTTAAAAGATAAAAAAGTATCAGTGCGTAGAGATCATACATATCATCTAAAAAAGGACAATTTTAAAAATAAATCTAAAAAGATAGATAGGAAATTTAAAAATTCAATTAAAAAGACTCAGCCCTTTCGTCAGCAACGTCCCTTTGAGACATCAAATTCAAAGTCCAACAAAGACAATTGACTCACAACAGAATTTCAGTGGTGGTTGCCTAAAGTTTTTCATAGGGAATTGGGCTCAGCTAGGGGCAAATCAGTTTATTCTGAAATCAATAGCAAATTATCATTTACCTTTCCGAAAGAAACCTCCTCTGAAATTCCCAACTCAAAAGTTCTTAGAATGCCTATCCACCAAAGTATCTCCAGAAATGACACAGATGGTCAAAGACCTGAAGTGCAAAGGAATTTTAGAAAAACCTTTAGCTTCAGATCCGGGTTTCTTTTCAAAGATGTTTTTAATAAAGAAACCGGATGGGGGTTTGCGCCCAATATTCGATCTCAAAGCTTTGAACACTTTTGTAGCGACAAAACATTTTTACCTAATATCACAGGTAGATATAATAAATTTTCTCCAAACAAACGACTGGTTAGTAAAGATCGATCTTCATCAGGCCTATTTCCATCTGAGTGTCGCGGAGACTCACAGACGGTTTTTACGGGTGGTTTACAATGGAGAAATACTCCAGCTGACAGCACTACCATTCGGCCTGTCTTCAGCACCCCGCACGTTTGCAGCAGTAACAAACTGGGTGGCCGAAGTACTTCGTCAACGGGGCATACGCCTTTTGGTGTACCTGGACGATTTTCTCCTGGCATCTCAGGACAAATCCAAGCTTATGGCTCAGGTTGCGGAAACTCTCACCATCTTGGAATCTCTAGGTTGGCATATAAATTATCAGAAGTCCGTAACCACACCTACGCACAGGCTGGAATACTTGGGACTGGTCTGGGATACACACAACCAGACAATAGCATTGCCGACCAAGAAAGTAATACGTATAAAAAACTTTCTAACAAATATATTGAGTCGAAACAGTTGCTCGTTGAGAGAACTTCAGACTTTACTAGGCATGCTAAATTTTGCCAACCATGCAATCCCTCAAGGCCGGCTTCATTGTCGCAGGGCACAAGTCTTACTAAAAAAGTTCAGTCAAAGAACACAAAAAAGACCACTTTGCTTCAAAGTACGGGAGGATTTGCGATGGTGGTTGGATGCGATAGAGGGCAGTCCAACCCCATTACACAAAAAAGAAATAACGCATTTCTTAACCACAGACGCAGCGGATGCGGGCTGGGGAGCAAGCTTGAACAGCCAATACCTTTCGGGGAGATGGTCGATAAATCAAAGAAACTGGCACTCCAACATGAAAGAGATGTACGCAGTTTTCGCAGTCATCAGTTCCCAAGGTGCTCTGCTAACCAACGCCCACATTCTAGTACAGTCGGACAACAGGACTCTTGTAGCCTATATCCGAAATCAGGGCGGGACGCGGTCGCAGAAATTACTGGGACTAACAACCAGGTTAATGGAAGTGTGTTGTCGTTTCAACATCACAATGACAGCATTTTACCTACCAGGAAACCTGAACGGCATCGCAGATTGCCTGTCAAGGGGAAGGTCAGTACCCGAATGGCATCTCTTACCACCGGCCACGGAGGCAATATTCGAAAGGTGGGGCATACCAGAAGTCGATCTCTTCGCAACAAGAGAAAGTGCTGTAGTACCCAGGTATGTAACGCTAAACTCAAAAGATGGCTCAGCGCTTTTCTGCGACGCTTTCAGTCGAAAATGGATGTTCCATCTGGCGTGGGTATTCCCACCTCCAAGCATGATACCCAGGGTCCTAGCACACTTGAACAGTGCAGTAGGAACATACTTGGTGGTAGCACCCCGTTGGACTCAGTGCTTCTGGTTTCCGGATCTACAGGCACGCGCTCTAGCGCCTGCACTGCCGATAGGGAACCTGAAAGAAGTGTTAGTGGACCAGACAACAGGGCTAAGCCCCCCTCAAGTGGAGAAGCTAATGCTTCAGGCTTGGAAAATTGGGGGTGGGAGGAACAAGTAGCAGACTGGAGTGTAGAAGAGCAACAGTTGTTGCAGAACAGCTGGCGTCCTTCCACCCTAACAACATATAGTGCTCCAATAAAAAGATGGTTGCAGTGGTGTAAGACACACAATGTTGACCATAAAAATCCAGAGGGTAAGGATGTGGCTCGCTTCTTAGCCAGTCTTTTCCTCCATAATAACTTTGCATACAGTACAATTCTTTTACACAAGTCGGCCATTGCCACTTACTGCGCAGCGACAGTGGAAAACCTCTCAAAGAATTTTTTTATTCAACAGGTTTTAAAAGCTGTCTCTCTTTCCAGACCACTTCCACCTAAACTTCCTGTATGGGATGTTAGCATTTTATTTAGATGGTTGCAATCTTCCACTTGTTCAAATTCTTTATTTGAACAAAGCAGAAGAACTGCTCTGATTCTGTTATTAGCATCAGGCAGAAGATTACATGATCTTACCCTCTTGGAACTTACTGAGCAAGGGTTTGTAGAAGCTGAAGACACTATAACATTCTGGCCTAAATTTGGGTCAAAGACTGACTCAGTTTCACACAGACAATCAGGCTGGCTTCTCATAAAACATCAAGACTTAAGGATTTGTCCAGTAAGTCATGTAAAGCAGCTAGTTAAGATCTCAGAGGCTAGAAGAAGTCCGGACCGCCAGGTTAGATCTCTTTTCGTCTCCATCACTGGAGTACTGAGACCTGCATCCAAAACTATGATTGCAGGATGGGTTAGGTCAGCTTTTAAACTAGCAAAGATTGATGCTTCCCCAGGTAGCATCAGATCAGCAGTAGCTTCTAGAAGATGGTTGGACAATAGACCAGTTCAGGAAATACTAGACAGAGGAAATTGGAAATGTTTAGAAACATTTTCTAAACATTATTGCAAAGAGATAAGTAATCCAGTTAATTCAGTAGCAAGTGATTTACTTTATGATAATTTCAAAACTGTTTGAGTTATATTGCATATAAAGTTTTATTTATATTAAATTTTAATTTTATGATTGTTGTAAAAGTAAAATACCTAATTTTACTTTTAATCAATTATTGATAATAAGAAGTTTCTATTATTGTTATTTTTATTAATTTTCATAAATTGTTGTTAAATACTAATTAAATTAGTTTAATTTTAGGTTAACCTTTAGAAAATTTCATGGATGAAAAACATTTTGTTTTCCTTGATTTTTAATAAACATTGTTATTTTCAAGATATTTATAATTTCATAATATAATTTGTCAAAGACATTCACATTGCATTCTTGTGTGTGTGGATATTTCTGATCACCAGCAGATATCAAACAGGTCTTCATATCATTGCTGTGTTTTCGAAGGCATATAATATAACTGTTTTGCATTAAGACAAAACAGGTATTATATGGTGAAGAAAACACAGCAATGAGACAAGGTTCTTGCTGATGATGAAGACTACAATGACAAATGACGACGAAAATGGCGGTAAAATCGTTGGCGCCCTCTGGTGTCAGAAATATGGAGGTAAACTCAATATTTTATTCAAATTTCGAAGGAATTTCCACAGAATCATAAGGACTGCTTCTTCATATCATTGCTGTGTTTTCTTCACCATATAATACCTGTTTTGTCTTAATGCAAAACAGTTATATTATATGTAGTTATAGTCTCTTTCCATTTTTCTTATAAGACCTAAACGTCTTACATCAGCTTTACCCTTATCAACTGTCACTATTATTGTGTTCTGTTTTTCTTTATCACATTTTAATTTTAGTTGTTTAACTTATAATTTATAGAGAAATCGAGTATTATCTATCTCAGGAAAAGCTAAAATTAATTTGCTAAAAAACAATTGTTTTATAGTGACTGGTAAGTACATTCAGAATGGTCATTTTCTTTTTTCACTTTATTTACGTGTGGTGATGAAATAATATTAAGCAAAGTTTATTTTGATCTTTAAACATAATTCTAGGTTTCGTGTCATTACATAGAATTATGGAAGTCGAAAAATTCGCAAATTATCACTTAACAGCAATTTATTTGTTTCGCAAATTACTTCAAAATTGCGTATCACACTAACCCGTTGCTAATGAGCGAACTGAGCGCCAAATATCGGTAAATGCCAAGTCTTTGTGCGAAGACACAGAATTTCATAATTGAAATTCTTACACCGTCTTATTTGGTGATAATAATATGTTGTCGACCTACATTGCCAGACCCATGTAAATTTTAGTAGGTACCGAAACTTCTGGGGGTCTACTCTTATTCTACGAAAAACGAACTTTCGATCGAAACTTCGCGTGTTTCCTACCACGGTTTCAATTCGTTCCGAAATATCGTTCGAACGAAGACGTTTGACATTTAGAACCTACTCTAATCCTTATTAGCTCCGAACGAACTTTTGAATTTGACAGACGATTTTTCGGATTTTTTACTTCAAATTGACGAAACCAAAAGTTTACCTTTTAATTTTCGTTTAGTGTGGATTTTGTATGAAAATTGTTTGAAATGGCTACAAGAATGCTCTAAATCGAAGCTGTTTTACGTGAAGAACGTGTAGAGCGTATATAGAAGGAACCGGCGCTGCCTGCGCAATCTACTTAATATACCTAAGTCAAATTCCCGACTTAGAGTTTGTAGGACAGTCGCCTATTATTTGAGGAGCTGTGAGAAACTAACTTTTAGAAAAGTTTTCAAACAAAAACTCATAAGTTGTATGTTATTGTTATGATATGTTTGCATGTACTTCGATTATTCGGAACGTGCGAAGTGGGTGGAAAGGGTAAAGAAACCGCTCACGGCACAAATATGTAAAAAAGGACAAGTAAATAAAAACACACTTAAAAAAATAACTGATTTTTATTTCCTAAAGTTCTGCACTTTTAATAAGTGCACAAAAAATAAAAACTTATTATCCTTTTAAAATAAATTTCAATTTTCTAATAGAACAAATATAACAAGGAGTATAATTTTAAACAACTTATTAGCATTTTATATAACATTAAAACAATATCGTTACTGTAACACATTAAAGTACTTAGGTATATGAAGTTAACATAAACGAACATTATTTACCATATACTGCTCAAAATAAAAATATCACACATTGCCATCCCAGTTACATACATTTGTAACTGAACATGAGTGTAATATGAATGGCTTTGTTTTAACTCTATTACATTATTTTATAAAAATATTAAGTAATTATCATTGCATACATTTTTATCAAATTCAACTACAGTTTTCTTTTCAAATGTTGATAATTGGACATTTAGCTTCGACTCGCTTTGTCACACAGTCTTCTTCCACCACTTCACAATCAATATTAACGCACAGCCATATTATTATTCGCATTAATTCTTTGTTCTTCCCTCAGGTTCTTCCACATCCCTCACATGTTCTGCTAACACCAATTTTACATTTTAGCACAGTTTGGGCTTGGTTGGTGTTTATAACACTCAAAGCCTGTTTTTATAATAATATCCATTTTTTATACAATTCAATAAAATTCCTTTCTCCACATATATTTATGGTCTTTTATAGTATATTTTATTAACTCGTGTTGATAAAAATAAACAATCTGTTGACATTAATTTTTTGACACATGTCGTGCACGGTTTGAATACAGCCATTTTTAGTCGTCATACATAGCAACCTTTTCTTGGCATGAAATAGTACTCTTTAAATTAGTCGGTTATAAATGTCTGTAAAAGAGTGTTTTTTATAGTAACGATGATAAATTAAACGATAAATTACAATTCCGTCAAAAATAAATATATTTTGATTTTCTGCGTGGAATATTATAAGTAATATTTTTTACAAACCACATACATAATGTGGAATTTAAAGAAACAGCCAGAGAATTTGTAATTTTAACTTTAAGTAAAAACCGTAATTTACCGCAAATCACATTATAAAGAACCTACACAATTACATTCGTTCACGAAAATTATCTCTGGATCGAACTTCGTATGCGTGTCCGAAAATAAAACAGAGTAGGGTCGTCAACGTTCTTTCGTTCGAGTTTCGTTCGTTTCCGAAAGTTTCGTTTCGAAGAAAGAGAGTAGACCTCCTGGATAAAACTACGACAAAGGATGGTTTCAAAATAGTTTTTACATTCAGTATAACTTCTAAATTCAAATAGGTGTAGGTGTTTTAATAAGACAAGTAATTATTTAATTTTGCACAATTTTTATCCTTTTGTAAACTGAGCAAACAAAAATATTAACATTGACACTAGAAATAAAAGGCTTTTTATTTTTATAACTTCTAAAAGGAATGCAGATTATCATAACAACTAAGTAGTCCTAGTATCTGTATAATATTATTCAAAATAAAAGTAGAACAACTACGATAATTTGTTAAAAGGGTTAATAAAAACATTGAAACTTAGAATTAAAATTAGAAAATGACTCATCCACAAACAGAAACAAGATCGAACAAAGACGTTACGATGAGTCAAAAACCTGTTTTTGAGCAAAAATTTAACACTATATGAATGATCAGACTTGTTCAAATTCTGTAGTTATGTCCTCAACGTTTATTTATTTTGACATCATTAACTATACCTATAGAATGAAACAAAGTCGTTTTTTCTGTCCCTATATCCCTAGTATGTTTAAAACGACGCAGCGGATTTTAATGCGGTTTTTTATTCATAGATAGGACGATTAGAAGAGATAGGTGTATAATTTATAGTGGTAATAAATAGTGGAAGAATTCAGTATCAGAATTGAACTCGTGTGAAGCCGGTGCGGGTCGCTAGTTTAGTGATATAGGAGAAAGTCGACAGCTACCAGCATATCAAGCTCTTACTATCAAATTTCTTCAAACAATTTTCGACTTAAGCACAAATGTATAAAATTTAAAATCTTTTAAAGATAAGGCTATGATATCCTGGTAGTTGATCAGCATGCATACAAACAACTGCCATAAACTTCAATTAGATGTAGTTTAACAAATTGTTAGCATAAAGTTACACCGTTGAAAAGCAACAGTTTTGTCGTGGTTTCAAAATGAACTGCCAATCAGACTTTGCTGTTTTCACTTTTTAGTTTTTCTGTCAACATAATTCGTTACTTATTTTTAAAAATAAAGGGCTGATTTTTAATGATTAGATAAAAGTTGCCTGGGAATAATTATTATGCTGTCGCGTCAGAATGTTTGTATAAGACAGTGACAGCAAAAATTTTATTCGTCAGATAACATTTATCTGACTATTGAAAAATCAGGCCTTAATGAAATGAAGTATACATAAATACCACTTATAAATAACTGCTTTTAGTCTGTGTTCGAAATCTGAATGTTTTCCATTGATTTTGAATAAAGAACATAACGTCACATCCATGGTGGATGGATGGAATTTCAACAAAACAATAAAGATCTTTTTATTAAATAATAATGGTGTACAAAAAATGGAAATGGAAGTTGCTTTGTCTTTAATGTATCTTTTACTTGAAGATAGAAAAAAAAAGAAAAGCGCTTTGCTATGGGGATCCAAGATAATGTATATTTAATGGCTCCGTGTTTCGTGTATCATAACTACACATCATAGCACGGAACACAAAAAAATCCAAACAGCTATATTCGAATTCAAACGCCAAGTTTGTTTGCAAAACATTTTTGCGAGTCAAATCAAGATTTTTTGTCCCACTCTCCGTTTTAATGTCGGAGAGAGATGGTGAATATTAAACAAACAGTCATCGGTGAAAGCCAGCCGACCTCACACTTTCACTCAAAGATAACCTTGGATTATGGTCCACGTAACATGTTACCATATTATTACTGATTCAGTTCGTGTGTTGCATAATGAAAAAAGTTCACCATAACCAGACTTCTTGGAATTGTTCAATGTGCCTCGAGCTAAGGACAAATTGCTTTTTGAACGATTCTGACGGCGAAGTAGACATTCTTCTAGTTCTTCACATTCTGTAAATGTAATTGTTTCATAGAATTTACAAAACAATAAATAATGTTGTAGGTCTTTATTAAGGTTTTCAAGAAAATCATTTTATACAAATTTAACAAGAATATAATAAACTAGTAACTCATTTTTGCTTAGTATGGATATCCAAATACATAGGTCTTGAATCACTTCGTGATGGAAAAGGTTGCCGATACTCGATATTCCCCTTTAAAATTTTCATTTTGTAAAATCTTCTACTGACATTACAGTACTTACCTAGCTTCACTAATTACGATCAGACTTATAGACATACTATGATTTTATTTTGACTATTTAAAAGTAGGTACCTGTTTTTAGTTTACATCAAACATACATAAGTACATCATTAGCCTATAAGTGCTTACTGCTGAGCAAAAGGCCACTTCTCACATGAAAAAGGTTTGAGCACTAATCACCACGCATGCTCAAGGCGGATTGGCGATTTCAAACTTATAATTAGAAATTATAAATCCAGGTTTCCTCACGATGTTTTCCTTCACCGTATATCAGTGGTGTCTAAACAATCATAGAAAGTACATATAATCGGAAAAACTCACATTGTAACTTGCCAGGTTTCGAA